GAGGTCAGGAGTTCAAGACCAGCCTGGCCATCATGGTGAAACCGCATCTTAGAAAAAAAAATTAGCCAGTTGTGGTGGTACGCACCTGTAGTCCCAGCTACTTGGGAGGCAGAGGTAGGGGAATTGCTTGAACCTGGGAGGTGGAGGTTGCAGTGAGCTGAGATTGTGCCACTGCTCTCCAGCCTGGTGACAGAGCAAGACTCCATCACAAAAAAAAGCAAAAAAAAAGAATACCTATTTTCACTGCAACACCCTACTTCCCCTTGAGATGTAACTGGTGCTGGGCTAGCCTCCCGTGTGCCCACATTCCTCCAGCTGTCGCCACTCCCCTGGGCTGTTTTGGAGTCAAGATTTCCTACAGCACTCAGGGGAAAAAGCAGGAGCAAGGCATGGAGGACTGAGGGGTCCCAGGGGGCAGCGGGGAGGATGCCAAAGATGATGATGATGACATGGAAACTAAAGAAGCAACAGAAAGGGGAAAAGCCATTTCTCTCTTTCTAAGGAAGCCTGTGGCCTTTCTTCTAGTGACTGACCACACTCCAGGACCCATGGAGTCCTTCAGCTCGAAGAGTCTGGCACTGCAAGCAGAGAAGAAGCTGCTGAGTAAGATGGCGGGTCGGTCTGTGGCTCATCTCTTCATAGATGAGACGAGCAGTGAGGTGCTGGACGAGCTGTACCGTGTGTCCAAGGAGTACACGCACAGCCGGCCCCAGGCCCAGCGCGTTATCAAGGACCTGATCAAGGTGGCCGTCAAGGTGGCTGTGCTGCACCGCAATGGCTCCTTTGGCCCCAGCGAGCTGGCCCTGGCTACGCGCTTTCGCCAGAAGCTGCGGCAGGGTGCCATGACGGCGCTTAGCTTTGGCGAGGTGGACTTCACCTTCGAGGCCGCGGTGCTGGCTGGCCTGCTGGCCGAGTGCCGGGACGCGCTGCTGGAGTTAGTGGAGCGCCACCTCACGCCCAAGTCACACGGCCGCATCCGCCACGTGTTCGATCACTTCTCCGACCCCGGCCTGCTCACGGCCCTCTACGGGCCTGACTTCACTCAGCACCTCGGCAAGATCTGCGACGGGCTGAGGAAGATGCTGGATGAGGGGAAGCTCTGAGAGCCCGAACCCAGTGCATGCCACCGTGGCAAAGCGGCTGACTGAGACACGAGTGGGCTTCCTAACCCCGCTCCTCCGGTACTAACGCTGTTCCGTCCTCAGGCTTCATTCCTTCCCCAGAGCGCTCCTGACTCTGAGACCAGCCCGCCCCCAAGCTGCGGGTGGAGAAGGCGCAGCGGAGGGGCGAGGCCTCTGTCCCTCTCCAGCCCCAGGACAGGAAACAGAGCCGCCTGAAAAAGGTGAAGTGAAACTTGGATCTGTATTTCTCCCGCGAGGGACTTCTGAAACAGGGAAGCCCCCTCCCATGTGAACCGAGGAAAGGAGGCACAGGCCATGTAACCCCTTTGGGGACACTAAAGACAGAAGAGGGGAAGGTCGCCTTAGAGACAGAGCCGGGACAGATGCCAGAGGCGCTGCTGCCGTGAGGAGGAAGGGGCCAGGGCAAGGGAGCCTCTCGCAGGGGAAATAAAACGACTAAAATATGCACAGGGCTCAGTGTTTAATCTCCCCAGCTTCTCACACCTTATAATCATCGCAGAAGAAAGGAGGTGTAGAAACACAAACACCACTTAGCTCGCCTCTCATCATTTCCAAACGGGAGACTGAGGCAGATTTCCATTATGATTGAGGTTCCCTTGCCTACTTCTGTTTAAGAAACAAACAAAACAACGGTACCATAGATCAGTGCTACAAATGGCAAATAAATACGCAGCGAGGAGGAAGCACAGGCAGAGGGCTCTGGGCGGGGGGTGGGACAAAGCGACTCCCACAACTGGCTTCCTCTTCCAGCCCCAAGGAAAGCCTTCTTCCACCGGTTCCCCCGACCACAGGCTGAGAACAGGGCAGAAGGGTGAACTGGTAGGATGCAGCATTCAGGTCCCCACAGTGCTGCTTTTTCTAAGAGTCAAGAGTTGTGAAAAAGTTACAGGGAATCGATGAGTCAAGACTGAGCCCATTCAAAAGGAATGGGGTACCAAAAAAAAAAACAACTCAGCCCAAATATATGGCTTTGAGATTGGAGAAAAGGCCGGCAGTCATCATTCTCTGTGGGGGGCGGGATCACTGACTGCCTCATCCTCAGTAACAGTCTGGCTAACAAGGCGGGGAAGGTGGAGAACCAGCAGTCACTGGCTCACTGTGCCCGGGTTCTCCTCACCACAGGGCTACAGAGATTCCATTTTTCAGCTCAGAGTGGGAAGGTATAAAATATAGCAAATAAATACTACTTCAATATAGCACCAAATAAATTATGTCACATAGTTGGAGACGAGGAGGAAGCTGAGGGGGAGTCTCTGCTTCCTTGTTCTACGGCCGGGGAATGGTAAAAAGGATAGGAAAGGCAACAGGGATATAAAAAGAGCCATCTGAGTCTAAAGGACTCAACTCTAGATTCAGCCCAAGAACTGGGAAAGGTCCAGTCCCCATTCCCTAATCTTGCCAATAAAATTGCCCCAGGCCAAGGAATTTTTGGCAGACAAAGAGGCTGGGGAAGGTGGCTGGAGTGGAGGGAGGCAGGCTGGTAAGCCATGGTCTTGAGCCTCACGCCTCACCTCAGGCTCCTCTCCCCCTGAAGTTTCTCCTTCAACATCTTGCTTCTCTCAGTCAGTTCTGGGGACATCAGAGTTTGAAGATCTCATCCTCCTGGTCCCGTAGCGTCCGGGTCCGAGAGGTACGGGTCAGCGGCACGGGACCTAGGACTGCTCGTTGCTGCATCCGAGGGGAGCTCAGGTGGGGACCTGCATCCTCCCCGGGTACCCTGCAGGGGAGGAAATGGGGGAAAGAGTGACAGATCAAGGGAAGCGCCTGAGAATGGCCAAGTCAGAGGTACATGGGCAGCTGTCTTCTCATACATAAGCTGGTTGCTCCAAAAGAGTCCCTATACCCTCTAGATAAATCCTAACCAACCCTAATGCTCCTTCATGGATGATCAGAGCAGTGAAAACAGTTAACTGCCTGACTCCGATAAGAACACAGAACCCAGTTTCCCACTGCCTCTAGCCATTCCAGCAGCCTTCACCTCTGCTCGCTGTCTCGGGGCCACACGGGGAAACGGTGTCACCTTGCCTTTGTTGGCACTCTGCTGACTTCTTGTGTTTGTGGTTAGCTAAGACTGGAAGAATGGAGGAGTCTAGGGAGGAACTTAAAAGGAACCATTCAAGACTCACCCACTTGGCCCTTTCTTGAGCTTCTGGGCAGCAGCCTTCTTGGACAGGCTGATCTGTGAATCAAGCTTCTTAAGGAAATCAGAGGCAGAGAGGTCATGGACGGGTGTGGGGGCTTCCTGGCCAGGTGTGGGGAGGACTGCTCCATTGGCACGCGCTGCTCCTGTCTCTTCCTTCTTCCTCTCAGTTGAGTGTGGCCAAACTTGATCGTTACTTGGCTGTACTTCCTCCTCTCCATCTTTCTCCTCCTCAGAATCCAAACCATTGAACAGGTCTCTGGGCTCTGTCAGGATGGGGATGTAGAGGGTTTTCTTCAGGAAGATGGAGTCGTTAGTATAAAGGCGGTTTGCACGTTTAATCTGCTCCATCTTTAAAAAAAAAGTCACCAAAATTAAGGACAGTAATAATGATTCATCTTACATTGCATCTAGAGCTTTTTGAAGTGATCGTACAGAGTCTTTGATTCCGTAACAACCAAGCTAAAGTACAAAAGCTGATGTCATTTCTATTTTATAGATGAGTGATTTTCATACTTTTTGGTCTTAGGGCCCCCTTACATTTAAAAAAATTATTGTGCAGGCCGGGCATGATAGCTCACGCCTGTAATCCCAGCACTTTGGGAGGCTGAGGCGGGTGGATCACAAGGTCAGGAGTTTGAGACCAGCCTGGCCAACACAGTGAAATACCATCTCTACTAAAAATACAAAAATTAGCTGGACATGGTGATGCGTGCCTGTAGTCCCAGCTACTTGGGAGTCTGCAATAGGAGAATCGTTTGAATCTGGAAGGTGGAGGTTGTGGTGAGCTGAGATCATGCCACTGTATTCCAGCCTGGGCAACAGAGCGAGACTGCACCTCGAAAACAAAAATTATTGAGCAAGCTAGGCGCAATGTCTGATGCCTGTAATCCCAGCTACTCGGGAAGCTGAGGCGGGAGGATTGCTTGAGCCCAGGAATTAGAGTCCAGCTTGAGCAACATAGTGAGACACCATTTCTTTTTTTTTTTTTTTTTTTTTTTTTTTTTAGATTTTTTTTTTTTTTTTTTTTTTTTTTTTTTTTTTTTTTTTGAGACAGAGTTTTGCTCTTGTTACCCAGGCTGGAGTGCAATGGCGCGATCTCGGCTCACCGCAACCTCCGCCTCCTGGGGTCAGGCAATTCTCCTGCCTCAGCCTCCTGAGTAGCTGGGATTACAGGCACGTGCCACCATGCCCAGCTAATTTTTTTGTAGTTTTAGTAGAGACGGGGTTTCACCGTGTTGACCAGGATGGTCTCGATCTCTTGACCTCGTGATCCACCCGCCTCGGCCTCCCAAAGTGCTGGGATTACAGGCTTGAGCCACCGCGCCCGGCTCGACACCATTTCTAAAAATAAAAAATAAATAAACAAATAAAAATGAGGGAACTGAGGCTCAGAGAGGTTAAACTACTTGCCTAAAATTATCCAGCAAGTTAATGACACAGCTAGAATGTCAGTCCACTGCTTCTGGGAATGCTTTTCACACTATACTATTTTTTTTTGAGACAGAGTTTCACTCTTGTTGCCCAGACTGGAGTGCAATGGAGATCTCAGCTCACTGCAACCTCCACCTCCCAGGTTCAAGCAATTCTCCTGCCTCAGTCTCCCAAGTAGCTGGGATTACAGGCATGCGCCATCACACCCGGCTAATATTATATTTTTAGAGATGGGGTTTCACTATGTTAGTCAGGCTGGTCTCAAACTCCTGACCTCCGGTAATCCGCCCACCTTAGCCTCCCAAAATGCTGGGATTACATGTATTAGCCACCACGCCCAGCCCACACTATCCTATTAACTGTTTCATTAATAACTTTTTTTTTTTAGATGGAGCCTCGCTCCTGTCCCACAGGCTGGAGTACAGTGGCGCAATCTCGGCTCACTGCAACCTCCACCTCCTGGGTTCAAGCGATTCTCCTTCCTCAGCCTCCCAAGTAGCTGGGATTACAGGTGTGAGCCACCATACCTGGGTAACTGTTGCATTTTTAGTAGAAACGGGGTCTTGCCACGTTGGCCAGGCTCAAACTCCTGATCGCAGGTGATCCACCTGCCTCAGCCTCCCAAAGTGCTAGGATTACAGGCGTGAGCAACCGCACCCGGCCACATTAATAAATATTTATTTTGACCTATTTATTCATCACTGGACATACTGACTGGCCTCACCATCTATCTGCCTGGCCTCCCAAGGTAGAAATATCAGTGTCATCCTTAACTAATACTTTTCTTCCATCACTTTACCAAGTGGTCAACAAAACTGCTTCAAAAATCTCTCTCACGGCCGGGCGCAGTGGCACAAGCCTGTAATCCCAGCACTTTGGGAGGCCGAGGCAGGTGGATCACGAGGTCAAGAGATCGAGACCATCCTGGTCAATATGGTGAAACCCCGTCTCTACTAAATACAAAAACTTAGCTGGGCGTGGTGGCGCGTGCCTGTAATCCCAGCTACTCAGGAGGCTGAGGCAGGAGAATTGCCTGAACCCAGGAGGCGGAGGTTGCGGTGAGCCGAGATCGCGCCATTGCACTCCAGCCTGGGTA